AACTAGGTCTAGATATGTGGGATATTAAGGCTTTAGTAAGTTTCCTATCGAGGATAAAGTAGTCCTAAGGAGACCAATAAGCATTAGAAACTTGGATAGGCGGCACCTTGAGATGTTCCCATGATACAAGAAGGACTGCATATGCAGAGGGTTTAAAATAAGCAAGACCCCTAGTTGGCTTGCAAGTATGGCAACTAGTATAGAACTTATATAGTAATGTATAAGCGGACTACTTAAATTAGGTACCAAAAGTGCACATGTAGCTAGTTGTAACCTCCAATGTAAGGTGAACCCTTGATGGCATGCCGTGTCCTAATATACTTGAATAAAAACATCACAACTTCCAAGATAGGGACTTAAACTTAAAAATAATAATAATAATAATATATAGATGATACTAATGAAGAATTCAGTAATGAATCAAACAAAAATAGTAATACAGAAGTTGAACAAGAATATAAAGGGCCATTAGATCTTCATATAATATGTGAGCTTTCCAAATCAGGACAATCAAGATTTGGTTATTTACTTTTAAAAATGACAGTATCAAATAAATAGGGCTTTAGATGAGTTAAAAATCCAGATTTACTAGTTTTTTCAAGTTTTTTAGTCTAAAGATTACTCTTTCTACTCATAAGCAATTAAGTAAAAAAATTTTAAACAAGGCCATTACCAAATTTATATTAAAAATTGAAGAAACTGCTAAAAAAGATAAAGTTGGTATCATTGTAATACTAAATAGTTGAACAAATATGATTAATCAGAATTTATTAAAAAGTGTTCTAATTATTTCTTCTGGTAAACCTTTAATATATTAGTAGTAAAAGGGCATGTGCTAAAAATGTTATTTTAAAAATTAAAAAGTTGTTCAGTGATTTAGAATTTAAGAAAATTAAAGTTATAGCATTGGTGACAGATAGTATTGCAGTCTATGCTTTGACTAGGTAATTTTTTTTTAATATTTCAAATTGAGAAATTTAGTAGTATAATTTCCTAGTCACTATATTAAGATTACAGAAGAATTAATTAATAATATCCTAACCATATGTGAAAAAGTGAAACTTCATTTTCACTAATTCCTAACAAATCAAAATATTATTATTACTAATTTTGATTTTTTACTTGCTTAGCATAAAAGCAGAATTATAAATTAATAAATAAGCTTATTAGTTTTTATTTTTTATATTATGATTATAGAAAGCAGTTGCAAATAAAGCATAAAAAAAGAGGTGTGGCAACCTAGTAAAGTGGTCAGGTTGTCAACCTTCCAAGTGGTAGGTTGGGTGTTCAAATCCCATCGATGGCAAAAATTTAGATAATCACCTATGTA